TCCGCTAATATCTTCGTTTAACAAACGCACCAAATACCACAGAAATTTACTGTTTGCACCATCGGATAAACCGGAGAAAAAAAATCTTTTAAATAAATTCTGTATGAAATTAATTACATAATTTCGGACGTTTTGGCGAATTTTCGAAAAGCGCTCTAATTTTTTTTACCCTTTTCCATAACATAACTGTTGGAAGTAAAAGAATGATAATTTATTTTTGGGAAACGATTTTTCAACTGAATAATTTGATTAATAACGAGTAATTGATTGAAACTAAAAAGAAGGAAATGAAAAGAGTTTCTATAAAATGTGCTTTTATTTAAAACTCGTAAAATAGTTAATAAATTAAAAGTAAAAAATAATTTATCCTGTAGTTTAATGGGAACAAGAGATATAATAATTCTCTTTATCCCCCCCCCATAAAATCCTCTACAGTTTTATCACGAATATTAAAGCATGGGCGCCTAAAAACCGAAATCGAATTGCATTGTCAAAAGTAAATGCCATCAACATCAGGTTTTTATTATTCGTGATGTAAAATTGTACTAGAATTTTGTAAAGAGAAGTATTTAATCTCTTGTTCCCATGAAACTATATGATAAGCTATTTTTCTCCTTTTAGTTCATTAATTATTTTGTGAATTTTAAATAAAAGCCTATTTTAGAAAAATATTTTTAAAAAATTTGTTTATTTATTTATTTCTGTGTAAGAGCGACTGTCTTATCTTGTCAATCGCTCTTAGAAACAGTTCCGCCGCTAAATTCATCACCCTTAATGAAAAAGATTTCTTCAAACGACGAAGAACGTTTTGTCTCCAGAAAGAGTTCGGTTGTAAGTGTCAGGTTTACCATTAATATTCGAAAGCATGTACACATTACGTGCAGTTAACATGGCGGAGTACCTAATTTGTTCCATTAATGTGCGACATCATTTACAAAATAAGAGTTATCTGCGCTTCACCTAGATATATTCTTTCTCTCTTTTTCTTATGCCGCTGTTTCATCTCTGTCTTCGCTTTTTCATACGTTGAAGTGCGGCGGTGATCTTCACTTTCGTCCGTAGAAATTGAGCCGAAAAGGGAAATAGTGGACATAGCCCCTTCACCTAGATAATGTGTACATTAAAGGTATTTCCGAATCATTAAAATTTCTCTTTTTTTTCTTTCCTTTTCTCCTTGCCCTCTTCAAAGCTTGTGCACTAGTGTTTTGTTTTTGGCATCACTTTCACATTTGTCGCAGAAGTCAATTGCTATGTAAATCAAAGTATCACCAGTTGCACCAATAAGTATAATTTTATCTTGTATTTGCAAATTCATGACCTTATTTATATTAATACGTTTAAACCGTTTAATTGATTCTTTATATTATATTTAATTCATTGATTGATTTTATCAGCTTGATTCTTCAGATACCGAAAAATAAATAAATAAAATCATGTTTCTGCAATAGTCAGCATTTCGTACTGAAAGTGAAAATTTCATGGGTCGGGAGTGGGGAAGAAGAATTCAATGCAAATATTTACGTCAAAAAAGTTTTGTTAAAATTTTTAATTTATGAAAGGGGGACCGGAGTAGATTACATAACATAGTATTGCATAAATACAAAAATGCATGTGTTATGTACAGGGCTTAATTTCTAAGATTAGAAGTGCCGGAGGAAGACCATCAGCAAAGAGGAACAAGAGTAAATAAATAAATAAAATGACTAATAAACTCATTAATAATTTTTAATTAAATAGTTAATTATTATCAAATTAATTAATACCTATTTAATTAATGTTTATAAATTGTTATTTAATCGATAATTATTAGATAATTAATTATTATTTATTGAAATAATTAAAGATTGAAGTAATTAAATAATTAAAATTAAATAAAATGTAAAGAGATAAATTTAAATTTAATAAGCGATTTTTAATATAAATTTATTGTTAAAATAAAATTTTCGAGATAAAATTTCTACTGAAATTGTTAGTCAATTACATAAAAGAAGTGCCGCAGCCTTCTTATTCAGGGCTCCGGTGCGTTCCCGCTGGAACTATGATTTATTACAAAAACTAAGAAGCACCGGAGCTGAAATCCGGTGGCCTCCGGCCCGATTTAAACTCTGATCGTAGGGGAGGAAAAAGTTCTTTTATCATCACAAAAATTAAATATACTTAAATTACTTTATCATCACAAAAATTAAATATACTTAAATATACTTACTTAACTGATGAAAATTTCAGGGCGAAACAGAATGAGGGTATGAGTGGGTGGAAACAAAAAATGAGGGGAAACTTGGTAAGAGAGAACGTTTTCTTTGACCGCGGCTCTCTGCTCATATAATTATAGCCATCAAGCAGATGTATGTCAGGGGTAAAATGAGCGCTGAATCTGACTCCTAAGGATGTATGTAAAGTTGCTGGTTACGCTTCCCCCCATTAGTGGATACTGTATGGAGACGATGCTTGAGAAGTTATCTCAGTATTTCCCTCTTATTGTAGTCGCTGTCACTTAGCACACATTTAAGAACACAAATTTTCCTTCCTGCCAGGATAACTAACTGTAAGCATCGATAACAATACACTACATACGATGGCATAGCGAGAAATTTACCGTTCCTAAAAAAGCTCCTCCAAATTTATTGCCCTTCTTAAAGGGAAAGGTTTCCGCATGTGAGTGAAGGGACTTTACTTAAACGTCTCATGTTCTCGTGAGTTCGTATTTCTAGGGAAATAGAGTATTGCAAAGTCTGCTTATTGTTAAACTAAAACGTTAGGAATTCTAATTTTTTTCCTTTTAATTGTGGTTCAGTTTTATAATAAGAAGTACCGGAGCTCATCTTATTTAGAGCTGCGGTGCGCTCCGGCTAGAATTGTAATTGATTTGAAAATTGAGAAGTGCCGGAGACGGGTTCCCGTGGGCTCCGGCGCAATTTAAGCACTGGTTATGTATACATTTTGCAAACATCAATTCATAAGCACATTTTTTACTCGACTCCTACAGTATGATGGGCTCCCCTCGCGAACACCCGTGATACTGGTCCCATTTAAATTATTGCACTAATTACATGCTTAAGTCATTAAAGGTTCTGATTTAATCTTAAAGTTTTCATGTATTAATGCGAAATTCAGTCATAAAATTTTATCATTATTCATTGATTTTATCACTGAAAATTATATGAGGTACAACTGCCCACCAAATACATTCTGTGCATCCTGTTTCATGTCCAAAGCACATAAAATGTTAAATTATTGTACTATTTGCATGCTTTTTTACATGCTCAATTCACTATATTTATTCGTGAAATTAGTACTTACATACTATGGCAACCATCTTAATGCAATTTGTCGATTTTTACGGATGAAAATTATTTAGTATATGCAAGTTGGTGGTTTTCACGCCTCCTATTTTACGAAGATTACGAAACTATGGATATTTATAGCAACTTTTGTAAACAATATTAGCGTAGGAAAAGGAAACATAGTTTAGCAATTTGAGTTATTAAATAAGAATTATGTCATACATTAAAAAATTATAACACTTGCGTTCTTCTTCGAATCTTTCTGTAATTTTTTTTTTTTTTTTTTTTTTTCCCTTTTCTTTATTCTTCTCCCGAAGTACGCAGCGGTCTGTTTTCACTTGAAAAAAATACCAGAGAATCCTGGAGACTCGGTTTCGTGCAGTCTTCGGCAACAACGGCTATTTGGAAAACACATTTCCTCGTTGTTCCCTTTAGAAAAATTTCAGCAAAATTCTGTGTTACTGGAACAAGGAGTAGTAACAAAATAGAATGCATGCGAAAATGGCGGCATTGCTTGAATGAAACGAGCATGGTTGTCGGAAGAATGGTTTTGTGCATGGTTGCCAGTGTATGGCATTTTCTGAAAATTTGGCTACTTTTACTAAGATGATTGCGATAGTACGTAAGTATCGTGAAATTTTTCACATTTAAATTTTTAATCATTTTGTCATTTAAAGGTTCTAATTTTATCTTTAAAGTTGGGATGCAGTAATGTAAAATTTGGCATACCAGTAGCCGAACGGAAAGATCGCTGAACACTGGTGGTTTAAACTGGGTTCAAATCTTGGCGATGGTTGGCTGCATGAGAGTTTTCTTTGTTTTCTTCATATGTAACGTGAATACGAGGCAGCTCCCCTTTCTCATCGGGCAAATAGCCTTCATATACTTTGTCATAACCCGAATAACCTGGAATGAAATTTACTGATAAAATCTTATAACTGTGTACGGATTTTAATATCACTAAAGATTGTATCATGTACCGTATATTTCTGTGAATAGTAATTTTCCATTAGCCAAGCGCAAGCGATAAATCGCTAAATATTGCATTTTTTTAATTTTTTTAGTTTGTATTTCTGAAGTTGATGGGAAAAAATGAATTTTAAATTAAATAAATTATTTATTTATTTATTTATTTATTTATTATGTTTTGTTTAATTTTTTAAATCGTGTGCAGTGCTGGTTCATTGCTTCGTCGCCAAAACGAAAGATCTGATGTTGACGAAATTTGCGCCTTCTTTTCCATTTACGAAGAAATGCCGAGCAACTGTTGTTAGAATTTACAGTAAATGCGATCATCTGTAGTTTGAAATTTGCCGTATAAGAATTTTTGTTCCCATGGCACATAAAATAGATACCACAGATAGCACAGATCGTATACAGGACTACAAAGGAATGGAATGAATGTCCTGGCAGATAGGGTTACCAATACTGTCTTTGATATCTTAATATTTTACTGTATAGCGATTTGTTTGGCAAATGTTTTACCTGTTTAGCAACCTTTTCGACGTATGTTGAATGTAGCAGGATAATTTTTTCATTTCGGTTTATATTCGGAAATATACGGTATAAGATACAAGCATGCATTAAATCCTTTCTGTACATCATGATGAAGACATAAAATCGTGCATCAAATATGATGTTCATGTTCGATGTACAGAAAAACAAATGTTAAATTATTGTATTAATTACATACTTAATTCATTGTATTTATTGCAGGGAGTATGTTCGTATGTGGAATTCAAGGAATGTTCACGTCATAGCCTGGACACCGAATCAGCGCGTGGAGAAAGAATACTTAAAGAAAGTACTCAACGTCACCTGTATTACAGACACCCTATTATGATGGAATGCGGAATTCCTTCTTATTTGTCTTTCGCCATTTTTTTTTAATCTGAAATTTATCTGTTAATGTTATTTGGGGGACCAATTTCTTTTTTTAGAAATGATATGATTTTTCAGTTCTTACTCAGCTGATTTGGCGCTATTGCTAAAATAAAAAGTATGTATTTTTTAAAAATTATATTTTAAAAAATTAAGCTCCATATTTTGGAAAGTTGTGAAATTTTATTCATTTTTTACTCTAATAGTAGCTTTCAAGTATGTTTTTTACTGCAAATAGCTGCTTGGGCGGATAGCCACCTAAATTAATTATTATAAAAAAGAAAATCACTCAAGCTCCGCTATAGCGAACTTCCAAATCTATAAGAATCGGTTATAATGAGTTCCACGGTTATTTTGATTTTTTAACCTTTTTCACGGAATTTATGCAACTTTCACGTGAAAAATTACAAACCCTTAAATTTATCCCGTTTGGGGTTTAAATAGCAAACTTCGAACTTAGACTCACGGAACCCTTAGAACTATTAGGTTTTTTTAGGGCACCCCATCCTATCCCAACCTTAGTAAACTTTATCTTAAAGTAATATTTAAAGTTGATCAATGTGTTTTATGTACTTTATGTAAAGACAATTAAAGTACTGTATATTTTATTAAAATTTTAATATAAAATTAATGTAATTATTAATAGCATTGATTTGTGCTGCAGGTGTTACCAACCTTTGCACTGCATTTAGTGACTGAGGTGTGCGTACATTTTTTTGGCACAAACTGTCGAAGTCTTGCTCTATTTATGTTATCTGCTGTCGCATTTCATATTCTGCCTTTAATTTGTTCCGATATTTTGTTTTTGTTGCCACTTGCATTGAGAAAAATTTTCCACTTAAATATTGTTGTTCCGAATAGCATGACTATGTGTCTACTTGTGTGGGAAAGTTCTGGAAATTTTGCATAAATCTACATTCAAAAATTTAGGAGCTGCCCTTGCTTACATTTGAATTTTAATGTCAAATCTGTTATGCTTGCATGTCGATAAGTTGTTCCCTTCCCTTCATTGGCAAGCCGTTTGATTATCGTAGTACTGGAACGTAGCTTTTAGTTATTTTTTAGTTAATAAACACTAGTCAACTAGTGTAGAGTGTTTCATATTTTTCTTTTCAAATTTTTATTTTGACTTAAGAAACCCCTGGGTTCTACGAAACACAGTTCGAAGATCCTTGATTTAAACGAAAATTATCTTTGAGCTTTCTTTAAACGAAAATTATGTCCAGCTTTCTCTGCATTCTCAATAAGAAGCAGGTGTAGTGCTACTGGGTTCCTTAATTCCATTCGTTCTTTGATCGAGGTATCGGACAGCACTTCGTTCGAGATTAATGCTTATTGACAATTGAAAATGCGTATTTTAGATGGAAAGGTATTATTGGAAAGACAAGTCTCGGCCATGATTTTTATGGAAAGTTAAGTTTTCGTGTAAAATCACTAACGTATGGAGAAACTGTAACAACAACGAAAAAGAAATTTAGTAATTACATGTAATAATAATTTTAATTAACAATTACTATTTTTTAAAGTTTCTTTTAAGATCTTTTGGAAGATACGACAATGCTAATCACTCTTTCCGTGTGATTCATCAATCAACTTTTACATAATTTTATTAGATCGTCATTTTTTTCTTATCAAATCCTATATTGCTAACCAAATTTTTGATCCCTTGAAGTTCGTTACAGCGGAGTTTGACTGTATAATGATTTTAACGAGTCTGACTGGTGGTATTTCGTTGGACTAGTTAGTGAAATTTCAATAATAAAGTAAATAATGTTTTAATGTATAATTGATAGCTTTAATGAGTCCAGTGAGTGTGATTTCATGAAAGTATTTAATGATTTTAATTATAAACCAAAAATATAACTTTTTCGATTACGCTGATTTAATCAATCGTTCCAATTCAATGTAACTTCTTTAAGACTTAATGCAGTGAATATTGCAGCTCACTGTATAATTTCTTTTAATATATCAACTATTTTTAACTATGCTCCGAAAAGAAATGCAATGAATGAAATTGATGTAAAGCTTTTTATTTTTCAATGAACAAAAGCATCTTTGTTTAACAGTTCAATAATGGGCATGAACTATACCTTTTCTCTAGACTTTCTTATATCTTTTTAGACTTTCTCAGCATGCTATTCTATTTTTCAGTATGTATTGGTTGCAGTGATATAAGCTCAAAAATCAGTTGTTTAATTTTATTGTTTGTTTTTAATGAAGAGTTGGATGGTAAAGGACACAATGATTGTTCTGTAACCAGTCATTATATATAATATTTTTGAAGTAAAATTCGTTTTTTTATGTTTGTATATGTAACGAAACTTGGTAAATCTTCTCAAAGAACCAAAAGAAAAGAAAGAAGCTTAAACCGATAAATCAACCTAAGTTGGATGGACAGAAAGAATTAAACGTAATGAATGCTGAAGAATTTTTGTACGAATTATTAGTACTAGTCTGGCTGAGCAAGACTCATTAAATGCATCTTTATTTAAATCATTAAGATTAAAAAGAAAAAGATATCATTAAGAATTGCGTGTATTGCTTTTAAATCGCTTAGCTTGTTAATTAAACATTTCGTGGTTTTCCCCATGTGTAAACGTGTATACGAGCCAGTTTCCCTTAGAAAGTCCTCCATGAAGGCATCCCTTCCCTTAGGCAGATAGCCCTCGAGGCTTTGCCATAATCACACACATACCTACCTACCTTATTAATTAAACAGGTTACATATTTACGAATGGCAGCACACTCGCATGTATAGGATAAAAATATTTTATTTCCGACACTGGCAAGGCATGGCTTTTAAATCATTGAGTTTGTGAATCAGAAGTACGGAATATGTAAAAGAACCAATTCGAAATTCGACCTTCAAGGTGCACATAAGCAAGTGCAGAATAGTATGCGTTCAAAATTTGGTAGCCGTTTTTCCACAGTTCCGAAGAACATACGTACGTTCATATATACAGATTTTTCATTATTTAATAAGAGATCTTAATTTAGATCAATAACTTTGACGCTGCTGACCTGTATAATTGATAGCTTTTACTGTTTTGGACTTTGTATTTATTATTTTTTTCCGGGGGGTCTTTAACCGGAATAGATTCTAATATCCATACGAAGTGTTTAAAACAATTCTTGAATATGTTTGTGGGATTATTTATGAATGATAATTTCAATGGTATGTTTAAATGCAATACATATGTATTTTATTAATAAATGAATACTTGAAAAAGAAAAGTATTCTTTCAAAAGCAAATTAAAACAATAGCGTATAACTTATAACTTTTTTTTTAGAATAAAAAATCAAAATATGTTTTTTAGTTGTTAAAAAAATTATCAGAGGTTAATACCGACATGGCAGAGCACGCAAAGGGATGCCTTCGTGAAGGATATTCTAAAAGAAACTGGCTAGTATTCACGTTATATATGGGGAAAATCACGAAAACCAACCATGCAGTCCCATTCACGTGAATCAAACCTGGGTCGAACTCCCAGTATTCAGCGGTCTTAACCACTCGGCCACTGAGGGCTTCTAAAAATTATTAGAAAGAACAGTATTAAATATTATTCCTTTAAAAAATATACCAAATATTATTTGAGTCTGATTTTAGAAACCAAAGCTATGTTTTCATTAATAAAAAACAGATATATATTTATTTATGTACGTGTATTTTCCTTTCATAATGTAATTTTTTTCCTTTATTATGTATTAAAGAAATAAAATAAATAAATGCATATTTATGCAAAAATTAGTTTTATTTCCTCTGTTTTTTGGTAATTTTTTTATTCTCGCTGGAAACACCATAGGAAGGAGGTGTGCAGAATTTTTAATTTTCGATTAATAATGGAATAAATTTTTAAAGCGGTCTCCCGGTTTATATACTTGTATTTGAGAACTTTTTGTACTCGTGATGGGGGGGGGTGAATTAAAAGTTTGACTCTCACACGGCAAAAATTGACCGCGAGATTTAATTTCAAAATTTGCAGTTTTTTATGTTGTTTTCAACTTGCCTTGAGGGATCGATTAAATAAGTTAGAGTAATTCGAGGAAATTAGTTTAAATGCGGCGAAAAAATGTGTATAATAAGCCGTACAAGGAAGTCATGCTGTGTGCAAATCAGATTTTTTCGAATAGTATTGTCACTGCTTGCTGCCAAATCGCAGAGTTTATTAATAAAAAAAATCATTTAACTTGTACAAAATATGAAATAAACAAAACAAAAAAATCAAAATTCTGCTTTGAGTTCCCACGTTCGGTGTGGTGTGTTCATTAATTTGGTTGATATGGATACCGCCGTTTTTCCACAATACGAGGGACTTGCAAATATCTTCTTCATTATTTAATAGTAGAGAAAGACGCTAAACATTGCGCTAACTTGGCTGATTGCAATAAAGTTTACCTCTCATTCGCCCAACACCTTTCTTCTTTATTTCTTTTTAAGCTCCCAGTCTTCGCAGATGTTGGGGTAAAACGTAAAATATGCAGTGATTTTTAATGAGCCCGGCCATTAGTTAATAATAATAGAGATAAAGAATTGTGTTTATTCGTTTTAAATCTCTTAGTTTATAAATCAGATGCAGATAGATTTAGATTCAAAGAAAAGTTAATTTTATGCTTTGCTGAGTGGCAACACGCTGACGCATGGAAGATAAAAATATTTAATTTCGGGCGCTAGCAACACATTTCTTTTCAATCGCCGAAGTTGTTGATTAAACGTGAAAGGCAAGCATCTTGTACTTTTCCGACTGTTAACATGAATCACTCATTTTGTTAATCAAAATTTCATTAATTTGCACGAAACGTTAAAGTAAAAAATCAGACGCGGACACTTTATGATTTCATTGTACGGCCTATTATACACATTTTTTTTTTTTCACTTCATTTAAACTTATTTCATCGAACTATTCTACACTCATCGCGATAAAACTTTGCGCACCAAGAAATAATTGTGGGATGGTAACAAAACTTGGCATGAAGGTACACGTCGGGTAGATATGCAAATGATTAGAAATGTAACGTGATTGCGCATTGCGTAATGCCAGGTAGGTAGACATGAGTAGACGCTGAGGTAGACATGCCGCTATGCCGCCATCGAAACCAATATCAACAGCTGTCAGAGTTCGAGAGGAGAAGAATCATCGGGATGATGGAAGCTGGTCAGCTTGGCGAGTAGCTCGTCAGATAGGCCGTTCTGATTTTACTGTGAGGAGGTGTTAGAACCAGTGGACAGAAGAGACGTTATTTACACGGCGACCAGGTTCAGGACGCCCTCGACAGACCAGCCTTCGAGAAGACCGTCACATCATACGACACGCACGCGTAAAGCCAACTCCTCATTGGCCGCTATCCACACACAGGCAGCAGCTTCATCATTACGGGTCCCTGTGTTTTCCCGAACCATCGCAAGGCGCCTGGATGAAGGGCATCTGGTATCGCGGCGCTCATTACGTGTGCTGCCAATAACACCCACCTTCCGACGCCTCCGTTTGGAGCAAGTTTCTTACCTCCTTGGTTTGGAGTGGTGTCGCGCACGACAGGATTGGACTTTAACGGAATAGAACCAGATCGTCTTCAGCGACGAATCTAGATTCAGTTTGACCAGTGATGACAATCGTGTTCGTGTTTGGAGGCCCCGTGGTAAACGCCTCAATCCTGCCTTCGCTTTACAGCGACGCACCGTTCCCACAATTGATGTGATGGTATGGGGTGCCATTGCTTACGATACACGGTCACTCCTAATATTGATTCATGGCACAATTACAGGCCAGCGGTACGTCCATGACATCCTTCAGCCACATGTGTTGCCACTCATAGCAGGGCTCCCAGGAGCCTGTTTTCAACAAGACAATGCTCGGCCACACACAGCACGGATCTCACAAGCCTGCTTCCGCCACATTAACATCCTTATCTGGCCTGCTGGATCCCCAGATTTGTCACCACTCGAGCATGTCTGGGATCATTTGAGACGGCAAGTTGGACAGCCTACGAGATTGGCCGA